TTAATAGAGCAAGGGTCTCAAGCGAGAGCCCTGTGGAACGCCGAAAGTTAAAAAGATAGGTGACGATTTGACAAACTACAACTATCTGATAACTTGAGATCTTCCCCTTACATAAGAAGCAAACCAGCAATATACAATGTGAGACCTGTCTGAATCTCCGATTATTTCATAATCTGGTGCTAACTTGATTTAGGCAGTCTTTCTCTTAAATCTATTAATGTATTTTACTGAGAGGTTTCATATTAGGAACATGGGTAGTATTCGTGGCAGTGCCAACAACCACCAATAATAGTAAGTAAATCTACAACGCAGATATCTGTATTGCACACCTCTTTTTTTGTTAGAAAATCGAATAATGACTAGGAGCGTGTTAAACATTTTGGGCAAATCTCGTGAGAAAAAATGTGGACCGACCCTATTATATTCCTGGGAGGGTTTGCTTAGGCAATCGTCGCTATCGAATACGTATCACAGCGTATTCTCATCTCATCATAGACTTGTTACTCATATCTTGTATAGGCATTATACGTGCATAAGACTGTAAAATTTCGTCAAGCGAGAAACGAACAGCAGATCAGCTTAGAGCAACATAGGCTACATAACTGCGCTAGTGTAAAACGGAAAAGCTCCTTTTGGTGCCGACCAATCGATTTTAATTTCCGATTCCGAGATTATTCGGGACGGAGCATGTTGCTAACCTGACGCCACTGACTGCAATGTTATCGCACGTTTTATAAATTTTAGCACAAATTAATTAATTTCAGTATAATTATCAACTCATTATCAACAAATTCTCAGGTATTTCCTAAAAGGGACAAACTTTGCGGAGGATTCCTCTACTTAAAGTAAATAAAAATAAACAGGAGTGTAATTTAAAACGGTTGCAACCAGTCAGATCCCTTCTAATTTTGTTCAAATTATACACAGGGTGGTCCGTAAGCACGTTACATGTACATCGAATCTACATAAATATGTATCTCGAAAGATGTTTGAATTAACGCAGCAGTTTGTTTTTCAACCGTTTACCATCCCGTCATATCATACCAGGTGCGAAGTCAACCGCTAGTAATATTTGCCGTTCAGAAAAATTTTACAATAATGATTTTTCTATTTCTTGGTTGTTTTTATGTAGTGATACAACTTTATTTATTTTGAAATTTTGAATAAATTTACGGTAATAGGATTCAAATTAGTTTTAATGTCCTTTCTATTAGGAACAAAAGGATTTCATCCTTTTCAGAAAATGCGTAATTTTTAACTTTCTGAACACTTCTATTTTGTTTTTTCCAAAAAGTCAAGGTGCTAACTGAAGAAAATAAATTAGAGCAGATTTGGTTGTGGGCTATCGCAAATATTAGAAGAAAACACAATGCCTTCTGTCCCATGTTTATTCATCGCATTCGTGCTGCTTTGGCTACGATTTTGTGCCTAAATAGTGAATAAGAGAGAGCTGTCTTGATTATGAAGAGGTTTTGTAAGTTGTATTTACCCGGCAAGCGTTTGTTGATATACCTTTCGGCTGCCATACCTTAGTCTGTACTCTGGAGATTACTAGCCCTTTACATAGCAAACATACAATGTTTTGTATAAAATACGCTCATTAATTTTGAAGTTACACTACAAATTACTTTTAAATAATTACCCCTCAGACTTCGACGCTGAAAGCCATCTTTCAGAGTCCCAGAAAATGTTTATTTTACGTTAAATACACTAGTCTCAAAAATTATGGGATAAACAAATCCTAAATTTTTAATTTTTTTTTCTGCCGAATTTCTGGTCATTGATAAACATTTTTGACTTTGAGATCCTAAAACTAGAAACTTGAAGCTTCAATTTGCTTTTCGCCAAATTACAGCTTTTTGAAAAATCACTTAAAAGTTAAGTTTTTATCTTTCAATTTTTTTTTTTTTTTAGTTTTTTAGTTTAATATCTGTAGCACAATTTTTTCTCATTTAAAAAAGATTTTGTTACAGGTATGTTAAAGCTTGCTCTCAGTGTAGTAATATTTTAGCAAGGCTCCCCGTCGCTGGAGAAATAGTAGAAATTGTAGAAAAAAAAGGTGGACTAGTGCTGCCAAGTCATCACATGTCGCGCTCGTTAGGAGGGACCCACATTAAACTTTTGAATAAGAATTCTTCGGTGACAAAAAAAGGAATTCGTTATTTTTCGTTGTAAAGCAAAAAGTTGGAGGGTCGGACACCGTTTCAACGTGTAGGCGGTCAAGCCAAACATTGAAGTGTAGTCTTGTTAGGCTTACGGGAAGCCCTTTACAATGGCAGCTGTCGAATCAGTACCTACTGTATCCTTTATTTATTAAATTTTTTCTGCGGCAATTATTTCCCCATGAATTTCGAACGGCTCCGGACCCGCATTGTTACAATCTTCAAAGTTTGAAATAAAATTCACATCATATATCACAGAACATACGCGGTGGATAAGCCGAATGGACCGCACTTTAAAATTACCAGATGAAATTTAAAAAATAATATTAATTTTCCCTATCAGGTCAGGTTTTACTAATGACCCCATTTACTCGCGTATCCTCAAACCCCCTAACCCCATAACCGTATAATCCCATAACCCCATAACTGGTAACGCCAATAACCACGTTCCTCAGTAGCTTGACTTGATCTCTCATTGCGGGATATATCAGGGATCTATAAACAGAATATATTTTAACCCTATAACCCTCCAACCCCCTAACCCCATAACTCCAATAACCACATTAAGCAGTAACTGGGAGCCAATAATGATATAAATTATGTTTCTTGCATCAAACAATCTAACTACTGCGTAACGTCGTTATTGAAGTTATGGGGTTATAGGGTTGGGTTCTGTTTATAGAGTCCTGATATATCCCGCGATGAGAGATTAAGTCAAGCTACTGAGTAACGTGGTTATTGGAGTTATCGGTTATGGGGTTATGGGATTACACGGTTATGGGGTTAGAAGGTTTGAGGAATGTATAGGGTTATTGTGGGTACACAGTTCCGATTACACGATCGTTGTGTGTAATAGGACTTGACAGCTTGGGTTATGAGGTTATATGGGATTATTCGTAAAACATGAAGTGATGGGGTTAAATGGATAACGGATTCGGATTCAGCGACCCGAGTTATTTTTTAAATGTCAGCTGGTAATTTTAAAATGCGATCCATTCGGCTTATCCACCGCGTGTGTTCTGTGATATATGATGTGAATTTTATTTGAAACTTTGAAGATTGTGACAATGACGTGGTGGGGTTAAATGGATCACAGATTTGGATGTAGTCGACATAGTCTGACCTCCAGACCAGAAAATAACATTTTTTGTGTGGCTGTGTAGTCATTTAAAAAAACGTTTTTACTTTTTTGAATTCTATGTCATATTAAAATGAAAATTCCAACATAAGAATCACCCTGTATAATTCTTATAGTTTTTGGTCAGATGTAATTTTTTCCAAAGTTAATGAGTTTCTTCTTGTGAGAAGAGATTCCCAAATAGCTTAATACAGTCTTAATTGTATACAGGGTCCGGATATACTTTTCTAAGTCAAATTGTTTTTTTACTGCACTTCTAAACAACACTTATGTGTGTTGCATTACATTTTTAAATCAACTGTATGAAACTAACTATGCGACAGGGAATGAAATTGCAATGGACAATAATTTTGCAAAAACACATTGCTTTTGTATGACTCCGACGCGACGTGTTATTTTAAAGTCACCATATTTTTTTAATGTCAAAAAATTTCGAATGTCTTTAAAAAATTGATACAGAACTAGTTGTAAATAAAACTAATTTATGTAAATAATAAAAAATGAATGATACTTACTAATCTGATACATTTGAAATATTTGTAAAAATAATGTAATTTCTTAATAAAACGTATTTTATACAATTTTTTGAAGCACTGCATTGAGCTTTTGAATTTATGTCATTGACCCTTGATACTGACCTAGTTCAAGTGAGCTACTTGATACCAATCCACCTGATGGGATGTGACATTGAGGCGCTAAAAAACAATAAACAAACGGCCAACGTTAATTCGAGACTGCCAAATATGTCACCAAAGCAAATATATTATAAAATTATAAAACATATCAATTAAAAAAAATACACCTTATATCTAAACGTGGTGTAAGCGGTTTTCAATTATCTTTTCTAAAATGTCCATTTTTGCAGCCTTAAAAGGGCCCGACTTGATCGTTTTCAATACGAAACCCTGTATATTCATCATTTTAATCGCATATTGAAAATTTGTGCGGGGAGGGTGCGGCATATTATTATCCTGCAAGCCGCTTTAACGATCCTGTTAAAAATCCTGCAAATTGTGCCGGTAAAATATGTATATGTGCTTCTGTCTGACAGCAAACTGCTTAGTGATGTTCCGGATGAGATCAAAAGATTTTCCAGTGTCACGTAAACCACAAAGTAAATTATAATGGTGTAGCCATTCCACGTGGCCCAACGTAAAATATTCGCGTTTCGGCGAGTCAAATACTGATTAAAATTTGAAATTTTAAATACGAATACGGGTTTACGTTTGTGTTTGAAGGAAACCCTCAGGTTGAGAGATGTAAAACAAAGATTTAACCTTAACCGAATCCCCTCGAGCATTCCTTATGTTCCAAGTATTCTTATGAAACTGAAGCTTAATTCTAATTATCACACTTGCGATTTTTCTCCTGCTGAAATAAATCCTTACCCTACCTGAAAAAGGATTCTTCTGAAAATTAAATGTACATTTTCTGCTTCATTGTTGCAATAATATAAATCCGTTGCATTTGCTTTTATGTATCGCTTTGTGAAATAATAATTGGCGAAAAAATGCATTAATACAACCCAATCCTCGAATTGGAACCCTCATAAGGAAATTCGAGCTTAATACGAATTACCCTGCAATAAAATAAAGCGGTATATAGTAGCAATTAGCAGAAATGGCAATAAGCATTATTAGGTAAATTGTACCTTATACAGAGTGTAATTCTATATTATTATAGTGTGCTTGTTGTTACAGCGGTGGTGGAGGAGCCCGAATTCACAGACGTAATTGAGAATATCACAGTTGCCGCAGGGCGAAACGTCAGATTTGCCTGTTCAGTCAAGAATCTAGGGACTTACAAGGTAAGCAAATATACTTAGATGTTTATGATTTCCACTGAACATGCGCCTTTTCCTCTATTTACACAACTTTGCTTTAACCAAAAGCCACGTAAATACACACGTCCTTTGAATTCCTTTTACTCTACCATACATTTTTTCACTCTAAAATATAAATAAATCGAAATTTATAGTGCACTTACTGCTTACTTACACTATATTAAATGTACGTTTAAAAATAATGTGTACGTTATAACATACGTTATACGTTAAATCGGTGTATATTATATATCCGCTAATCGTTTGACTGCAATGCTATGCAAGAGGATTTTTATATACTTGTTTTGGCCAGGTTATTAAATTAGTACGTTCAAAAAGAATAATAAATGTATACGTTAAAATTGTGTATCATAGTTATGATATATTGATTTGTCAAGAAATCTAAAATAATAAATAAATATAAAGCAAAATTTAATTATAACATACTTACTGAGATAATTAGAAGTGGTACGTTTCATCAACTATATGAAAGACAATATTTTGTACGTTACAACTGAGTGTACATTAAAATCGTGTGCGTTACATATTACTTCTAAGCCAATAAAACCAAACTAACTTTGTTTTAACAAAAAGATACAAATAATCATTTGAATTCTTATTACGTTTTTGTACTGTGGATACGTTATATCAGATGTACGGGTATTTTCATAACTACGTACGTACGTTAAAATCGTGTACGTTATTACGTCATATCTACTCAAAGTAAAGATAACTTGGCGTTAACTAAAATCAATATAAATGCATGCGTGTACGTTACACATTACTTATACGCCAATAAAACCAAATTAACTTTGTTTTAACAAAAGGGAACAATCATTTGAATTCTTATTACGTTTTTGTACCGTGGATACGTTATATCAGATGTACGGGTATTTTCGTAACTAAGTGTACGTTAAAATCGTGTACGTTATTACGTTATATCTACTCAAAGCAAAAATAGCTTGGCGTTAACCAAAATCAATATAAATGCACTTCCTTTGAAACCCTTTTGACCTTTTGCACTTTAATTCTACAAATTACATTCCAAAATTTAGTACGTTATATCAAATGTAGAGAACAATGTTTGTACCTCGAGATTAAAATACAGGCATGTACAATATTATTTGCGTATACGTTATGTTTTGTCAAAATCCCAATGCTGTGTATTTTTTACTTTACAAAAATATATTTAAAATAATATTCGTAGGTATGTAACGTTCTCGTTATGATTAGTACGTTATAGCAGACGCTGCGCGCAACAAATTGACGAACTTAGCAGGCTTAAAAATGAGTTACGTTATATGTAAAAATTTACCCTGTGTTTGAAGCGAGAAAAGACAAGGTGGTTTCGTACTATCGATTTTCAGGTCAGAATAGAACTAGCATGTTTTATTTTTTTGGTGTAGCGGTAAAGTCGCTCTGATAAATGTCAGTCTAGATGTTATCACCTACATAGGAAAAAATCTTTTTCATAAACTCTGTGGAAATAAAATGCTAATATATTTTTTGTTCACGTATTCTAAATCTTTTCCCTCTATCTTTCAGTGCTATCTTAACTGCCATCAGGCGCAATAATTACCAAATGCCCCTCGTAATTTGAAAATTGTCTATAAAGAAGACGAATGCTTTAAGTGATAGTGGAAACCTGAGTTTGAAGTAGAATGCGAAACTATGGTGAAAATTAAATGAAATATCTTTTATTCATAAAATATTCGGGACAGCTGAGAGGGAGCCACCCATCTCTTCAATCGAAACATATCAGTAAAAACACTGTCCAATTTCTTTAGCAGTAAAGACGACGTCTGATGTATTAAAAAAGTAATGTCAGTGTAGAGAACGCGCCTAAAGAAAATTGGCGGCGAAAAAGTTTTCTAAAAACGTCTGTGACTTTTGCATCTACATGGGATTCAACTGATTCAAATCTGATGTCCATGAACAAATCAATCATGTGCCGCATGTAAGTATCTGTCCAGACAGAACTACAAGGATTTGCCATATATCATCTCTCGTTTTAACAGGACTTTCCCCCTGGCAGTCGAGATCCTTTATATTAAAGAATACGCCACTTCGGGAACTCGATGGTCTTATCAGATATACAAAAGCTTCTCATCCGAATTTAAAAAATCACCAACCGTTCATTAAGCCGCAATTCTCGCACATGCGTACGCTCTTCAAAACTATAAAAGACTCATCTTCCACAATGAAAATTATTTAAAACTTGCAAACAGTAACTGCAGTACAATTTGCGTATAACGTACGTGTTTATACCACAAACTCGGTCAAACGTACAAGCTTAAAGTTAATTTAACTATTCTAAATATTGCAAAAATATAACGTTTAAGTGAGGGATATTATGTTACCTAAAATGAAGACCTAGTGTCAAAAGTATCAAAACCTAGGAAAAATATTAATAATATTTGTTAACCTTCACATGGAAATAAATAAATCCATTTTAAAATATCACTATTAAAGTAACGTACACCTAATTATAATGTACACGTTACAATAACACGCATATAATGTTTACTCGCATTTGAAAATTAATTTTAATCGGTATTGAAGTAAAATTGAATATAACGTATATGTTTTTAACATACACCCAATTATAACGTACACGTTACAGCAAAACTTGCCTATAACGTTCTCGGGCGTAGAAAGTCCATTTTAAAATGTCGCATTTGGAAATATATATCTTAAAATATAGCTATTGAAGCAAAATTACATATAACGTATATGCTTTTATCGTATACTCAATACAAACGTACACGTGACAGCAAAACTTGCATATAACGTTCTCGGGCTTACAAAATCCATTTTAATATATCGCATTTGGAAATCTATCTTAAAATATAGCTATTGAAGCAAAATTGCAAATAACGTATATGCTTTTAACGTATACTCAATACAAACGTACACGTGACAGCAATACTTGCATATAACGTTCTCAGGCTTTGAAAATTCCTTTTTTATTTTGACAATACATTGCTATTAAATTAAAATTGCATATAACGTACATTAATATAATGTACACTAGTTTTAACGTACAAATTTTTTGGTCCTAAGAAAATATTTCTATTTATTAGTATTTTCCTAACTGTATCCACATAAACAAATAAACTGATGGAATTTAATTTTGGTTCAGTACTTATCCCAATTTATAAGCTTAAAAACAAAATTAACAAGACCTGTCTAGTATTCATAGATTAAACACCACAAATATACCAGTACCAATTGACCTGTGAAAGCAACAAATAATTGAAGAGTAGTAATTAATTAAACTTTATAATTAAGTATTAATTTATATTATACCCTGATTTATATAAAATTAACGTAGCGTTTTATATTAAATTTAAAAGTTTATGTTTATGGATTCTATAGCACTTTAATTCTGTCCATAGGACAAATTCCTATAAAATAAATAATAATAGACAATACTTTTGGATTTTAAGGGAAATGGACAATTTGAATTCACTTGTAGTTGGGTATTTGGCGTCTAACATTGAATCAGTCTCTAAATTATGTGCTTCAAATGTAAATGTAAACCTAAACGTATTGATTATAAGGAAGACATTATGCTGAAAAGTATTTCGCGAAAATATATGACAAATTGGTGACAAAATTTGTTCCCGATTTCATTTGAATTAGGCATCGCAAAGTTGTTGAAAAGCTAATCAACAAGGAACGCACAAACCATTGAAAATCAAGAAAGTTTACATATTTAATTTAAAACTGTCGCAACAAACTGTATTTGTTATTGATGCTGGAGCAGAGGCGTAGAGTAGGAAATGAAAATTGACTGGAATTTAATAATGGAAATTTCTTGACAAATTTCACATTCTCGACAAAAACAACTGAATAATTGCTTCAATAACCCCAAATTGAAATACATATTTTTTCTTTGACACATAAGGTTCAGTAGACATCTAAATAGTGAAATAATAACAGAAAAAAGTACAACAAAACTTGTATGGAGAAAATAATTTAATTTATCATTTTAAACGAACACTATACATATAATTAAAATTGCCATAATAAGTGTAATATGTACGTTATAACACAGTGTACGTTATAACACAGTGTACGTTATAACACAGTGTACATTATATACTCGTCTTAATGTACATGTATAAATTGCACAAGCATTTAAAAATTCGAAAGATTTCGATAAATTGAAATAAACATTGGATGTGATGAGTGACAACATACTTTGATGACCCAAATTATATTTGTTAGCAACGTATGATTTTTTATACGATAGAATTAAAAACATTTTCATTATAAAGTTGATTATTTATGATGGTCTCGGAAAATATTAATTACCTTCTACGATAAAACGTACATCTGATATAACGTACCAACATACTTTGATTTTCCAAATGGCCCAAAATTACCTTCTACGATAAAAAGTACATCTGATATAACGTATCAACAGTGTGTTATGAAGGAATTTTATTATAAGTCTTATAGAGAGAGAAAACTTAACGTACAAGGTTATCACGTACAACGGTCATAACGTACATACTATTTAGCCTTGGGGAAATATTTTAATTACGTTGCTGTTTCCTTAAAATATGCCTCTGATATAACGTACTAGTTTTAAGGGTAGTAGTTGAATACGTTATAAAAGAATATGGCAGTACTTTTTACTTATAGTTTAAATTTTATATGACAGGGAAAAGCGATCTATAAACTGGCCCGCTTTGATTTAGAGAGGTACACAGCAACAACTGAGTTTCCCATCGATAATATTCATTAGCATTTATGTTATTATCCCCTGCCCTTTCCACCCCACGCGATAACCACGTAATCAATGAGGAAACGTTCATCTGCTTATTTATATGGATCACCGTAGACGCTGTCCGCTCAGTCGGTCCTATCAAATCAAGTTGGTAGAGATCCCCGAATAACCGACGTAATAGAACGTGAAAACAGCAACAGGCAAACATGACATACAATTACCAATTTAATCGATTACTTCCGATATA